ATTTATATATTGTATATCATTTAATTCATAAATATATATAATATTTGCTTAAAATATAATTTTTTTTTATTAAAATCAAATATAATATTATAAAAAAAATTAAATTTTCCTTGCGCTTCGTACTTTACCATATTATTTTTGTGTTTGTGCTCTTAAGTCTAAGTTTTTTTTTTTATTTTACTCTCTGTTGTTTTTTTCATATTTTTTATATTTTTTCTCGATTTTTTTTTTATATCATCTCTTGTTCTCTTCGTACTTCTATATATTTTGTTTCTGATATCTTTATTTACTGTATTTTTATTTTCTTACACATCTTTACAAAAACAAGAGATGATTATCCTTTAGCATATAAGTTGATTGTGAATTCAAAACAAAAATTGGAAAATTTTAGGAATGAGGTTAATAAAAAAAACAATAATAAATAAGATTGAAATTGTTCTCCCCCAATTACTCTAAATTTTTATCTAATAGGAACACTATTCATAATGATTGCCAATACATGAATATATATATATATATATACACCATAGCAAATAATGATGGTAAGCATCTTTAAAGTTAACACTCTATTATAGGCATTCTAATACATTCACCTAACTAGCTTCATCAATATTTTCAAAACATAATTAATCCCTCACAAATAATTAATATACTTAAGTTACTTTCTTTATTTATTAAACTTAACATGTAAGTTTATTTTCAATATGCATGATCGAATTTTAATGTGTTTCATATATATATATATATATATATATATATATGTATATATCGTTTTTCCATGGACTTCATGTCACCAGATTGTATTTTAAGTGTGAATTTAAATGTAATTTACTCTGGGTTTAATTATTCTTAAAGTATACAATTACAATGATAATATACATATCTTTTGACATTTAGAAAAGTCAAAAGTTGTGTCTTGAAATGTATATTTCATTTAATATAATTGGTAAATAATTAAAAAATAAAAAATAATAATACTTAACCTGATAAATGAAAGTCTATTTGTAACAGATCAGAACTTAAAATGAAATAAATTATAAATTGAATGCGGAAGCAAAATAATAAAATTAGGGTTTACATTCCTTACACAATAATTTAGAATACCCAATAAGACTACGAGAATGATCATTCTAAATAAATAAACGAAAAATCAAATAAATAAATAGAAAATAAATAATTTGGCATCTTATTCACAACCCTCTTGTGGATCGAGATTTGGATTTTGGTCCTCTTAATCTGAAATAGTTAATAAGAGAGTGAGTTATACTACCCTAATAAAAATGTTACCCTACTCACCGATACAGAAATGAATGTTGGTAAAAATCATAAAAACAACTAATAGAGCTCTTAATTTAAATAAATTAATTTATCATAAATAAAATCATTTATTACATATTTACCGTAGTAAAATTTTCAAAAAACGACCTATATAGGTAATAACACAAACAACATCATAATCTCATTTTCAATTAGCTAGAGCAACAACTTTCCTTTTTTATCTGCCTACTGGTATTTATGAGGGTCCATAAGGATGTTCCCACTACGCATAAACCTTTATTCAACATTGTCAACTAACCAGCCGTCCTCACACCTCGTCCAATATGAACACCAAAAATATCATCCCTCAATACCTCATCCGGTATGAGGGTGAAACGAGTCATCCACATACCCCGTTCGGTATGAGCGTCAAAATACCAATTCTCGATACCCCATCTGGGATGAGGCAACATTCACGATAGGATTCCCTATATACTCGGTCTATCCACAATCTCTCAAGATATCCAGTAAGGCTACCATTCATTCATTCACTTAATCAAGCAATTTTTCGCTTACATTTAATTTTCAGTTTCATAATTTAGCTGTAAATCACGCAAGACAAGCAATACATGCATCAAAAAAATACAACTAAATTATCTTACCAACTTCAGTATATTATTATGCATTTAAAACTGTAAAATCAATCAATCAGTTAAAACAAGACAAACAGTAATATACAACCAGTTCCGGCGCCATTAGTAATCTTTAATTAATTATCGAAGTTTTCTATATTACGCAAATACCGTATTATTTATAATTAGACTTTAATTTCATAACAGAGAATAAGGTGAGAGATTTTTACCCGAATCGGTGTACAAAATATTTAACTTTCAGCTGTGCCTACTGGCGGTCCCCGGGTTCTCTGAATTTTCCTTCGAATATTATAACACGCTTCAAGTATCTAGAAATACCCCAAAAAATCTAAAATCGGTGTTAAAAACTTTTTTTGACCAATTTCAAAATTTCGGCATTGCAGCACTGCCGTGCTCCGGTGACAGCACCGCTACCCATGGTGGCGGTTTACCTCGGACCGGTTGTTTTTGGCCAGTTTTGACCGATTTCGACCGATTTTACACTCATCTCTGCGAGAAAATACATTAAAGGACCTCGGTTGGCCGAAAAAAGTCAAAAAATAAAAACTCACCAGCAGCGAAATTTTTCGGTGCAGCGGCTCTGCCAGCTCACCTTCGCGGCTGGGTGTTTTTCTTTG